CAGGACCCCAGGCGGGAAAGAAAGTCGCAATGCATGAGCCGAGACGAGAAAGAAATGCACAATGCATGAGCCAAGATGAGAAAGAAATGCACAACGCATGAGCCACACAGCTAGACTGACGAGGGTCTCCCCCCTCGCTCCTTCAACAGCAGAAACAAATGACAAAGGCACTGTTTTCTTGGTCTGTTGGCTTTTCAATCGAGGATTTAAAACAGGAAAATGTGTTGAATAAAAAAAGCACTGGGCTCAGAGAGAAGAGGGAGCCTTTCCTGGGTGCAGATCTGTCCGAGGTGAGGACACGCGAGGGGCAGTGACATCGAAGAGAAGAGGACGTGACCGTGAGTCCTCGCGCTTCCTGGTGTGTGGACCTAACGGAATGTCTGCGTCCGAGGGCTGTTGTGAGCATTTAATGAAATCTGGCAAGTACCCAGGGACTTTAACTAAATGTGCATCCCACTGTCACTGAACTATCTTTTATCTCCCACCCCACATCTGAGTTGGGTGGCTGAAGGCGACAGAACAGAGGCAGCTCTGTCCGCTGAGAGTCACATGGAATGAACAGGGGGGAGAAAAAGTGGTCCAGGTGATTCGATAGCGACAAGTACCAGTGTAGCTTTGAGACCCGTGAATCTGTCCACTGGTCGTCTCCAGTCCCAGAGTGGGGGGAATGAAGACACACTAACACGTGTTACGTTCTTGGTCGCAGAAGCTATTTCTCCCTGACTCACGCATCCCCGCCGCCCCCACCCCGATACGGGGGTGTCTCTATCCTCCCACTCTGTCCTTCCGCCTTCAAAACACACGCCCACGCTGCTCCCAGCATCGCCAGCACCATCGGGAGCCGGAATCCGTGGAACTCCCGTGCGTGCCAGACGCGCACGGCGCACAGTGACAGTCCCTCCCACTGGGGAGGACACTGCTCAGCCCTGGGCTACTGTAAGTGATGCTTTTAAACGAGGATCTGATGGATTGAACACAATTCTTGAGGTCCTGTGACTTTTTTGCAAGTGAAGATCCTTTTACTAGGACGTCTGTCTGGTCAGCGTTTCTGACGAGAAACACTAGCGACATTACGTAGTACGTACAAAGTAAGGAGAAAAAAAGAACTAAATGGTAATGAAGAAAAGCAAAGACATCAAGGGCCTGGAGGAAGGAAAAGTGACCAGCATCCCTGCTCTGCTCTGTTGGAGCCAGAATTCATTTAACCCTCAGTGATTTTTTTTTCTTTTTACAGAAGCTGAGTACTTCGCAGAGGATAAGATGATGAGAGAAGAAACGCATTCAGAGACAATGTGAATGCTGAAGAAAATTAAATGAAGGAACTAGGGAGAAAATATGTCTTAGGGAAGCACGTAAATAGAAGCATGAAGAGAGAAGTACGTCAGTGTTCTCTAGCCAGCAAAGCCACTGAGGTGACAGTGTGAGGGGTAGAGAGGCCTCCCGCAGGAGACGCCAGACAAGAATGACCAGCCAGTGCACGAAGGCAGGCGCCCAGCAAGCGACAGGGGAAAACCAGACAAAACGTCATGGGGAAAAGGGAAAACGATGCGTCTAAGAGCTCAGTGCACCCTAAAATGTCCTTATATGTTAGTTGTAACATGAAGGCTCAGAAAGACAGCGATTAGAGCTCTGGGGGTCAAGATCTCCCTTGTCTACCAAGTGATAACAACGTGTAGAAGAGGAAAAGAGACTGCTATTTTGAAGTGACCCAATTTCTGCAGAATAAAAAACTCAGTCGACAACAGGAAAGATCAACCAGACTGAGGACTCGACCACGTGTACTTGTCTCTTCCCAAGTCACCAATTCAGTTTCGGTTAAAAAAAAAAATTAACAAAGACACATCAAAGAGTGGATGTACTTTCAACAGGACCAAGAAAAAAACATAACACAGCGGTGAGGCCGTAGGGGCAGCCCACGAAGAGCCATGCAGTTCTGCTGACTTTTCGAGCGAAGAAACTCCTGATCCTACTTTCCTCTCCACGAGTGCCACCAACTGGGAAGGAGGAGTCCGCAGGACGATAAGAAACAGCATAGAAAGACAAAGAAAGCGCTCCAACTTTTCACCCGTTCCCCTGACCCAGGAGAGACGCCAGCTGTTCACCCGCTCCCGTGACCCAGGCCGAGTCCTGGGTGACATCTGGGACGTTGGGGAAGTAGATTTCTTTCCAGGCTCTCCTTGTCTCCTGGCTTCATCCGCTACCACTGGGCCTGCGACAACGTCTAAATCGTCACCTGCATATTTTCTCACTGCCGCCACGATTCAAAGGGCCCACTTTGGGCAAGGCGGTCAGTAACACACGGCTGGAGAGGAAGGTGGAAGGCAGGCTGTAAGGGTGTGCAGGGTGAAGTTCCTGCTCCCGAGGAACTGGTCACCCAAGAATGAAAGTAACACATGCATATGTGGATAGTGTATCAAGCAGAAAGGATGCTTTAGGCTTTGATAGGAATATTAAAATAAGGAGAAATCATTACAGATGGAGGGAATCTGAAAGATCATGGAAGACCTTTTTTTTCTCTTTAAACAGGGATTTCTGACAACCAATAAGTAGAAGAATTAGGTTAAAATTTCGATTTCACAAAATCGATCAGTAATGTCCCAAAATCACCTTTTTTCTGGCCCTTAATAAAAGTTCCCAAAATGAAATTGCTAAGGGAGGGATGTCTCCCTTTATTAAAAGGAACAATCATTAAACTAAACTTTCTTCTCAGCCTAGGTGTTTAAGACCCAATCATAATGGTTTGATATCAAACGTTAAACAAAGGTATAGCTGTTAACTAATTGAGAGCCTGTCACAAAACAACCTGTTTTTCCCGAATAACTCTGCTAAGGAGCGTAGTACAGCAAAGGCTTGGTAGCTCTTATGCCAAATGTGGCTGATTATCTGATAGCCCTAATTTCACAGGAACTGATGCTAACTCACTCTAGAAGATACAGCCTTTTAAATTCATAAAATTCTGCACTTTTACAGAAAAATGGCAAGCGCAGCATGATCTATAAGAAGCAGGCAAAATTAATTTTGGACTAGATCAGCCATTTTACCACCAATGAACCAAATAACATGTAGCTGTGAACAGAGACAGAGATGCACAAATGGAACACGGTGATAAATACACTTAATACATGTCGTGAGTAAGTGCGCAGTTTAAACAGCATCTCCTACAGCTGCACGACCCTGTGACCCTGTCTCGCTGTCCCCTCTCTGTGCTTTGTTTAGCACATCCGTAACGTAAGGACGCTGAGGAGACCAAGTCTCTGAAATTCTTGCGGCGATACCTGGCAGGTGCTTAACAACGTTAGCGGCCGCTGCTGTCATTTGCACCACCATTTCTGTTCCGACCCCTCCCCGCCAGGACCATCAACAAACCGGCTTCCACCGGAGAACGTTCAACGTCTCCTAAGGGCCAGACACTTATTCCTCCTCACGGGCGTGTCCACGTGCCACCGAATTAAGTTGAGTATTGCCAGTCTCCTGCATACATAAATGACGAGGTTCTGTGCAAGTGTCAAAGGCAAATCCGTCTCTCTACCCAGAAAAACACTCTGGGAGACTTTACAAGGATCTGATTGGTAAATATAATTAGGCAATGGGCACAACAGACATGTGAAAATGATACAGGACATAGAAATCCCGGTTTTGTGCCCAGATATCAATAAGTCAGTGCTCTCAAGTGGCAAATTCTGAAAAACCCTTGAGAAGACAGTAGATATAATTCAATGAGGGCAGAGGTTCTTCTACTCTCTTATTTTGTGGTTTTCGATTGTAATGATTTTTCTTTCTTTTTTTCTCTCATCGCTATGCTCCAGATGGATTGGGTTTTCTTAGTTTCCCTCTCTCTGAAAATTAAATATTGTGTTTATATTGTTATAGATTGTATAACTATTCTGAAAGTTATATATCGTATTTCTAATTTTTGAATGTTCAATAGTTCTGTCAGTAAATGTGAGTGCTAAATTCTCTTAGACTTTACCTGAAAATGTCTGTATTTCATTCTCATTTTTAAATAACAGTTGGGCAAGTAATAGAATTCAAAGTTGGCCATTACTCTGGAAATTGTAAGATATTCCATGACATTCGGACCTCTAGAGTTGCTGCCGAGACTATTTCTTTTGGGATAATCAGTTCCTTCTCTCTGGTTTCTAGTTTTGTCTTAAGTGTTCCAGAGTTTACCACGATTTATGTAAATATGGCTTTAATTTTATTTTCCCTGCTCATGACTTTTGCTTCTTTTATCTGAGGACTTTTACCCTCTGCAAAAGTTCTGCAAATTCTCAGCCGTTTCTTTGCAAATGTTGCAGTGCTCACACGCACTA